GAAAGGGTGGGGTTGGACGTAGACAGCTGACATACCAAGAACAGTTGGCCTCTGAACAGCGACATAAAGAAGTAAAAAAATTGTCAGTGGAACCATGGTTCCGGAGAATTTGACGTAAATACGTCTATACAGAAAGGAAGTTTATATATTGGCTTTATTCTAAAAATTTTCTTTGTACCTGCTTTACAATTGAGTAAAGTTTGATTAAGACATTGCTTATTTAACTTGAATTAGTAAGGCTTCAGATGGGTCTGGGATAGATGAATGTAATGTAAAGTAATGTAAGGTAAGGTAAGGTAAGGTAATATAATGTAATGTAAGATAATGTAATGTAATGTAAGGTAAGGTAATGTAATGTAAGGTATGCAGCCCAGAATTTATTCTTGCAGCCGTGAAAACCTGAAATCTCATTTGTATTTGGGAGTTAACTTACTTCAGTGTTGGTCTGATTAAATTATCTTTATTTAAATTTGTTAGTATTTTTCAACTAATGTTGAGGTCGTTCAATAGGAGATTTTTCCGACATGTGATAATTGATAAAATATCTGTATTAAATTCGAAGTTAAAAACCAAAAAATACACTTCTAAATCTTACGTGGTCAATTATTTAGTCAAACAGCGCTCATAGACCATTGTTGTTTATTTGTTGATGAACACATGGCGTTTCCAAGGTAACATAACAATGAAGTTACACTTTTTCATTTCCCAGGTAACATAACAATGAAGTTTGACGTTTCCTGGGTAACATAACAATGAAGTTACAAATTTTCGTTTCCCTTTTTTCGTTACATTTTTGCCGAATGACACTGACCCTAAAATATAGACGTATTTACGTCAAAATCAGATTAGAGAAAGTGCTCCGAATAAGACACTAAATTAACACCCCGAAGGGGGATAGTTCAGTGTCTTACTCAAGATTTTAAAACGCATCCAACCCCCCGAAGGGGGAGTTAGTCAAGTGTTTTAACCCGCCCATTCGGGGCTGAGAGTTAGTTTACTTTCTTACTCAAGGGTTAAAACACTTGAATGAGACACTAAACTAACCCTTCCGAAGGGGGTTAGTTTAGTGTCTTACTCAAGAAAAACATCAGAACTATTTAACAAATGAAGGAAAGCGAAGTAAGACTTACATTGATAAAAGTAGAAAAACGTATTCAACAAAAACAGAAGGGAAAGAAATCAGACGAAAATTTGCAAGGGTGGGGTTGGACGTAGAAAGCTGACTGACCAAGAAAATTGGCCTCTGAACAGCGATGTAAAGAAGTAAAAAATCAGATTAGAGAAAGTGCTCCGAATAAGACACTAAATTAACATCCCGAAGGGGGATAGTTTAGTGTCTTACTCAAGATTTTAAAACGCATCCAACCCCCCGAAGGGGGAGTTAGTCAAAAGTTTTAACCCGCCCATTGGGGGGTGAGAGTTAGTTTAGTTTCTTACTCAAGGGTTAAAACACTTGAATGAGACACTAAACTAACCCTTCCGAAGGGGGTTAGTTTAGTGTCTTACTTAAGATTTTAAAACGCAACCAACCCCCCCAAAGGGGGGGTGGTCAAGTGTTTAAACCCCCCATTCGAGCGGTTAGTTTAGTTTCTTACACAAGGTTGGTGGCGTTTTACAAACTTGAGCAACCCTCCCTAGGAGCTCCGAAAGGAGCGCCCTGCTCTAGTATTTAAAAATTCAGCCCATACTGCAAAAAAAAATACTACACTAAGAAAGAAACACAAAGTAATAATTATTTTAATTAATTTATAGTTCTAAAATTAAAGAATATGGCATCATAGGTCATTCTCTCCCTCTCTTTTCTGTCACAGCACTAGGTCTTGTAAATACAGTATATGATTACCAAGTGACAAAACAGTGATGGATAATGTTTTTGGCATATCTTACATCATCTCATAACATCCAGTCAGATGGGCTGGAAGGAAATGGACACAGAAGGATTTCATGTTAAACATGAGTTATGTTAGAAATAAACTGTATTTTGAGAAAGACCCAGGCGAAGAATGGGTGCTTAGCTGATACTGGATAAAATAAGATGTTCATTAATAATTTTTCATGTATTTCGGTCCTTGGGTGTACATTGGATAAATTTAAATGTTTCTTCCACTGAATTCAATTCATTGCAATATTGCATTATGTGAAATTACATATTCTTTCAGATGATGCAGCAGAGATGGCACCAAATAAAGAAATGGACACTGTTGCTATGCCAACACAGAGGCCGCTGAATGGTGCGGCAGCAAGGCAGGATGAGGTGGTGGTTACATGGAATGCAGGCTGCTGGACTGACTGGCAGCTTCCTGTCTTGGTTGTACTATTTGCTGGTCTTGGAGTTCTAGCTGTGATATTTGTGGTAAATATTGTCATAAGAGTACACAAGTTTTCTCCTGAATCTGTATGGTTCCATTAACTCTGTTGTATAGATAGAAAACTTTTTTTGACATCTTCTTGGGCTAATCTCCTAATGATTATGGTTAATGGACAGTTCATGTCTTTGTTATGTTTACTGGCACATGTGGTTTTGTACATTAATTTATAATCCTAGAATTTTTCTATGTCTCTCAGTTACTCAGTCATTGAGATGGAAGTGGTGTTTATGATTGGTTATGTCTCTTCTTACCTGAAATGAAACCAGAATATGGAGAAATGGTTTTCTATTGTCAAATACTGTGCCTGCCTTTGGTGAGGGAATCATCACTACAGTAAACTCTGTTATCCAAGTTAACGAGGAGGAGAAAACACATTACTGATCTAAAACCAAGTATTTTGTCACAAATTTACCTTTTTTTTAACTGATATTTATTTTAAGAAATAATTTCTGTGAACTATTTAGACTCTTCCGCATGGCAGTTAAGATTTTCCTGGCAATTGTAATGTCAGTGCATTTGAACCCTCTCTGGCTCCTGTAGTCTAGTAGATTGTCAACACACTGTATTGCCGAGTATTCCAGGGAGACATTAAGTGGGGAAAATAACTGTAATGTTATATCTTATTCATCAAATTATATCAAGTTATGCAATATGTACTATCATTGATGCAGATTCTGCTATGGCTGAAAAATCAAATGCTGTCATCATCAAGGTTGAAAGATGTAGAGCCTGCTAGTGTGGCCACAAAGTCGTGCACTCCCTCAGGGACAGGAGTAGAAGCTCAGTGGATCTTTCATCCTGTGATGAAACCTCCGTTAGAGTCTGTAGATTCATCAGGTGTGCAGCCACAGCAACCTGAACATGCCACCCTGCCAGAGGTGATGTCAGCAACTGAAGGAAAGAAAGCTGAACCCATAAGAATTAAGGCAAAAGGACTCCTAGAACGACGAGGATCCAGCGCTAGCTTAACAATAGACCTGCATCCAGGAAGTCTGGAAAACCTAGCAACAGTTGTGACACCAACCAGAGAATGGTAAGGGAAATAGTTAAGAAAACAGGAGTTTTGTGGGATTAGTCAAGGTACTTGAAACTCTCAAACTGAACCAGAGTTAACTGCATTATGCTGAATTGTGTCATGACTTGTATTTGTCTCTTCGATAAAACGTAATTATCCTTCTAGTTGTTTAAGTTGAAGGGTTATTATTGTTGATATTAAAGTACATCATTGGACTCATGATCCTGAGTCAGTTCTGTCACTCCTCTTTCTCATAATCTGTCTCCCTAAGATCTAACATAATGATTTCCACCCATTTCCTTACTCTTTCAGGAATTTATTTTCCAGAAAATTTGCCTACCACAATTCTGTATGCTTCCACCCCTTTCATGGTTATGGCTACACGTCCAGCCCATTGCAATATCTTTCATTTCAGTTCTGTAACAATACCAGTTCACCTTTATAATAATGAAGTTTGTCATTATGTAGTATCCTAAATTTCTGCCACCATATTAAGATAGTTTATTTGACTGTTGTCAAGCACTTAAATAAATGAATTGAATTGAATTTATAAGTGCAAGTGGAATCAGGACTTCATTAAAATACTAAAATATTTTGTCTTAAAAAGTATATGAAATATGGAACAGTCTTTCATAATGCTGGGTTCCTTGGCTGTATACATATTTGTTCACAGAATTTTAACATTTGAATAAACTGATGATATTGGCTGTGGCAGTAATTTTAAAATATGTGTCTTGGTAAGTGTTGTCTACATTTCAAAACTTTTGGATGTGAAATTGTACAGTTTGAAGAATCTCTTGGATAGTTAGACATCGTCCTCTCAACTTGAAAGCTCGTGTTTAATTTTAGTGTGGTTTCTGGTGGGAAAAGTGGACATTCTGTATAATCCAGTTGCTTTGATTTTTGTTTCTGCTAGTCATAATCCCACAAATGCTCCACACTCTTTACTTTTATTACTGTAATTGTTCAAGAACTGCATATTGTGGAGTTACATTTTAACTAATGAACTACTAATTCCAATATTGTTTCAGTTTTGTATGGGGCAGTCAGCAGTGGTAACAAATAAACGTTTCAACCCTATATGAGTCTCCATTAAGTTTTTTCATTATTATTTCAATATGTAAACGTTGGATGAGTTGAATTCTATGGTAGCTAAGATTATGTATTTTATGAAAGAACCTAACCGGAATGTAAGAAGAATTACTTGAAACGCATCAGATTGATAACACAATGGACTTCGTTACAATAATATTAATTTAGTGCTTTGAATTACAGTACAGCCGAAGAGTACTTGTTGTCTGCTGGAAATGTTCTGAGTCGGGGCCAGTTACGTTCTTGTCTGCGTGATGCTCGGATACTTCATCGGGAGTTCTGGGATTTGCCATCTAATCATCCTGAGAAAGCAGAAGTTGCTGGCAGTGGTACAAAAAATCGTTACCGCTCTATATTGCCCAATGAGAGGTCAAGGGTCAGATTACCGGTTGGTAAAGAGGACCTCTTGGCAGGATACATTAATGCCAACTATGTCAGAGTAAGTGCAAGTAACGTGGAAAACAATGTACTACTTAATGTTTTTTGCACACTTCATGCACTGTTACTGCAGAATAGAAATGTTTGTTCAATTCTTTCAATCCCATTGTAAGTATATGTACCACCTCCTTTAAAAACCTATAACCGTATTTTGCTCAGAATGTAATTATGGGCTTTGGATTCTCAGAGTAACAGTGATTATCCCAAAACAACGGTAACCAATTGATCTTGGAGACATGTTGTGTTTTCTCTGAGGTAAGAAATGAGGCTTTAAACATTATTTATTTAGGTCATGGCTGGCTTCATGTGGTTAAAAATTATTTCCTAGTGATGGGGAAGTGTGTTTATCTCAGAAAACATGTGTTATGTTACAGATTTAAAATATGTAATTTAGTTTGAGAAAATTCTAAAACAATGTTTCAGGGCTATGATGGAGAAGAAAGAGCATATATTGCAACTCAGGGGCCTCTGCCACATACCATATCTGACTTTTGGACAATGGTTTGGGCTGAACACCCTCCTGCCATTGTGATGATCACAAAGTTATTGGAGAAGGGCCGACCGAAATGTGAAGCCTACTTTCCACATGGTGAACCAGGATCATGTGAAGCTTCAGCAAGCTATGGGGATGTAACAGTTACAGTACAGAGTCTGACTCACAGAGACGGCTATACAATACGGGAACTGCGAGTTCAGGTGAGTTTCAGTTTTGATTTACTTTCATTTTATCATACATAAGTAGATATACGAATTGTCAAGCTTACACACATTTCTGTCAGTTGTATTGCTGTAATGTATATTTTAAATAATTTTAACATAAACTTTTAGGTTATTAAACTGCAAAACTACTTTCATTTAAATTCTATGCATTTATACATCCATTTCAGAGTAGAATAAATGTTACAGCAGTGAGTTTAATTTTAAACATGCCAGTTGACACTTTATTGTAAAACTGAATACCAGTGTTCCCAAAATATTTTATTTTACCAAATTTAGTACTTAATGTTTTGCAGTAATATGGAATTTAATGTATCAGGAATACATATTGGTGAAATGTCTGAAGGAATGAACATGTCATAATGTTCCAAACCAGTTTGTGGTTGTGCTGTTTGTAGCTTCTTGCTTTACTGTGCAGAATATTGCAAAGAATTTTGTAAGGACCTGTCTGTAAGTTACACAAGTTGTGATAATTAACTAACTAGATGGCTTAGGGAACCTGAAGGTTCATCACCAAATTAACCAAAGCCCCCCACTGGTCCCTGTCCTGGGCCAGCAAAATCCAATCGCCTTCAACTCCTATCTCCCATAGATCCTGCTTAATATTATCCTCCCATCTACGTCTTGGTCTCCCCAGTGGTCTCTTTCTAGAAGGCTTCCCAACCAATACCTGGTTCACACCTTTTTCCATATACATGCATGCCAGATGCCCTGCCCATCACATTCTTCTTGACTTGACACCCTGAAAATATTGGGGGGGGGGGGAGTAGAAATTTTCTAGTTCATCAATATGCAGTTTTCTCGAAACCCCATCATCTTCTCTCCTAGGCCCAAAACAAGTTGGGATGGCAGTAAGAAATTAAAATTATGTTCATAATGAAATTAAGAGCAGATTAAATTTGTGAAGTAGTAGTTGTCATGTAGTTAAATTCTTTTCATATGTATTACCTTGAGGGCTCCAGCTTAGGAATTATATAGCCAAACCCATGTGCATTATAAATTCTTGCATCAAACATCTCCTTGATAAGGAAAGAAAACATGGAAGCTGATGAGGTCAATGAAAGTGAAAGATGAAGATTTACTTGTGCCCAAACACTACATTGTGATGGCTCCTTGATGGTAGATGGAGTTGAGTGATCAGCTTCATGCTCTGGCTGTTCTAGGATGACTTCAAGTTTAGTTTTCTTTCTTTAAGGTTTTGACATGAATAATAAGTGCAGCAATGTTGTGTTTTGTTGTGTTCCATTTTACAATTTTTAAGAATAATTGGGAGACTATGTAATTTACTGCTGTAATTATTTTTTTACAGAGGGGCAGTGAGAAATTTAACCTTGTGCATTTTTGGTATGACACATGGCCCGATCATAAGACTCCACCCAGTGCTCGGTCACTTGTAGCAATGGCTCGTGAAGTGGAAGCAATTCGTACCAGTACTCATAGGTAAGGGTACCAGATTAAAGATAAAAGCAGATAATGTTTGAGAAGAAATACATGCAGGATATATCCAAAGGCAAATGAAATAAAACATTTATACTTATTTCTTAATCTGTTTAATGAATCTTTTGTAGTTGCATGTGATATATAGCATTGAATAAAAGGATGATTATGGCTAATGAATTGGAAAGAATGTGAAAGAAAGCAGTTATGATTTTTTTAACCATTGTACCCTACATTAGGTCTTGCCCCATGGTATTTAATTACAGTTAGCTTTGTGATTTCTTTTGTTTGTTTGGTTGTTTAAATTTGATGAATGTTGATAGATTTGGAGCTGTCTGCTAGTCTGAAGGTTCATTGCTTCAGTTTTCTGCATGTAAAATACATTTATTTTGATGGTGTAATCACTGAAGCTGAAACTCTTCCATGTGTCCATGTTCTACCACTGTAGGCAACTATATCTATTAAATGTAAAGGGTAGAATGTGCTTTGGCATGTCTTTCTTATGGAAAATATTCTACAAGGTATGGAATGATACTCGAGACAGTTACAGAATGTTTTTAAAATGAAATAGTAATCAGATTTCTGAAATTGTTATTTCCCCACTGCTACATTACATTCATCAGTATTTTTGTCTTTGTGAAACTTTTATCTGTATCAGATTTGAGATTTTAATTATGGTAAAGATATAAGTGTTGATCTTCTGGTCGATAGGTAGATATCTGCAAGACCACAGAAGAATAAAGGATTTAAATTCATATACTACTTCCAGCTGGACTTTAACTCTGGGGATTAATGGTTTAGTGGTATGGTACTGTAATACATGGTTAGCTAGACCTGATGTAAGCCATTACACATGGTTGATGAAGAATGAAAATTCATAGCAAGGTGATAAAGATATTGTATATGGAATAAATTGTGTTAATATTAACAGCCTTTGCAAGTCTCTGGACTATAACTGAAACCACTTGGGAATATTTTATAACATCTGTGCTATGTCTATACATTCAGGAAAGTGATAAAATTAAAATCCAATGGTTCAAATACATCACGGACTGGACACATCCCAGTTGTCCAGACACACGCCTGTCTACTCTTGGACATTAATACTATGATAGAAATATTTGTTTATGTTGTGCTCTAATACAGTTTGAATTTGAATAAATTTAATAATATCTATATTGTGGTTTGTGAAATTCTCAATTTCATAATAATTCTTCCTTATTTAGTAATCTTTTATTTATTGATGTAGAAATTTCATTATTATCCAGTTTGCTGTAAAAGTGCTTATATGAGTTTTGTGAATGTTGAAACAGGAAGTTTTTGTGAGAAAATTGTGTGATAGTAATGTATTTTTTATTACATTGTTTCAGTATGATGGAGACTGAAGGAAATTCAGTGAGCAGGATGAGCTGTGGAGGCCCTGTGGTGGTTCATTGTAGTGCTGGCATTGGCAGAACTGGCTGCTTCATTGCAGTCTCAGTTGGCATGTTGCAACTTCTTGAAGAAAATAAAGTAGACATACTTGGCATCATTTGTCAAATGAGATATGACAGGTGAACTGTTTATTATGTTACATTACACAAAGTAGTGTAGATTAGTAGGGGATCCGGTGGTCTACAGATAAGCTGCTGGTCCCTTGCCAAAAGTCCTTGGATTTGAAACTGGCCAGAACTGATGTGGAGTTGTCAGAATTGTTTTCCCATCCCTTACTTCTGACATAATCTGAATGTGAACATGGTCCTGCACCATGACTTGGAGTTCCATTCACATGTATCCCTGCTGCCATTACTATCACTGTTATAATCACAGTCATATTACAAGGCATAAATGCAATTCTTTATGGGGACCGTCTTTATTTTCAAGATACCAATGAAGATAATCAGGATGGCTGTCTTCTGGGTTGCTCACCTGAAAAGTTGATTAACTTCTACCAGACTACATGGTTCAAAAACCCAGAAGACAGCCATCTTTATACTTGTTGGTGTGATAACCTCAAATGCTTTTTACTTCTGCTGTGATTGATTGGATGGATCAAAAGTTATTTTAATAAGGAGTTTCAGCTGCAGACTTCTAAGCATTATGTGATACGGAAAGATGATGGTGATTGAAAAGTAGGTAAGCATTTGGAAGGGGACCCATTACAAGGTATCCTGATATTCCCTTCAACATACTGAGTAAAACTACAGAAAGTAGCAGCTAGTAACACTGCTGAGATTTGAATGAGTTACTTCTTGAATACAGGCCTAGGGCATTACCACTACAGCAGATATTTGGTTCTGCCATGAAAATTAAAGTGGCGATGCTCGAAATTTTCTCAAGGAAGGCTTGGTGCTGTTATGCAAAGGATTTAGTTTAGTGATTAATTCAGGTGCATGTTTGTATCTGGAGATATTGAGAATCTTGTGACAGAGCACACATTTCTCAGTTTGTTGCATTTTATGTATTGCAGTGTGATAATGACTGAACTTAATTTGCAGGGACTTCTGTGAAGTTACATATATATCCGAATATTAAGCCAACAGATATAAAATATACATGACTATCTGCCCCATTTCATTGAAGGATGTGTGTTGTTCTGAACAAGGGACTGCATCCCATTTTGGTAGTTTGTTGTAACATGGCATTAGCAGTTACATTCATGATGGTTCAAATAAGGAATAAAAATTAAGTAGTTAAATTTTGTAGAAAATGCTGTGTACATTTAGTAGTATGTAGTTCAGGATGAATTTTTGTGGTTGCTAATACAGAAGAAAATGAAATTTACTACTTCTTACATCCTTACATTCAAGTTCATTTATTATAGAATAATCATAATCACCATCGTCATCAGTCGGTCAGTGGCATTTTAATCAATGAGAGTTGTCTTCAAACAAACCCCCCATTCCTCACTCTGCTCCCATAATTCCATATGCCTCCATGCCTTTACTCTTTTTTTTCCCATGTTTCCTTTCACTTGGAGTCTCATTCTAATTATTTTTTATGCTCTCAAAGGAATCCTGTCTTCATAATTATAACAGTATTTAATTTTAAGTGTGCAGTGAGTAGTCATAGTGCAACATGTTAAATATATATTTACAAATAGTGTTTTTTATTTTTCAGAGGAGGAATGATCCAAACAGCAGAACAGTATGAATTTGTCCATCGGGCTCTGTGCCTGTTTGAACGTTCTCTCCCTGACCAATCGGGTGAGTGAGTAGACTTCTGGAACCTCTTGTTGTAGGCAAGTCACAAGTATACACACAACCAGCATTGCTGGTCTGCAAATGAACCAGCCAGTAAATCTGAACCCTTAGTTCTGATCAGTGTGCTGCATGCACGTTGACCGTTGGAATGAAATGAAAGGCTTATTCATTGGGGAAGTTGTTTCTAGGCCCCTCTCCTTTCTCTAGAACAGGACCGGCCTACATCAAGGTCAGTGGTGTAGATAATTGTTAAGATATAATATAGTACAAAGTAACTTGAGTATAGTCATATTGCTGTTGTTCGCTATGAAAAACATAGGCCCTTGATTATATTAACATCTGAAAAAGTGGACTATTTAAAAACATGGAGATTCCAATTGGAGACCAGTACAATCACATGTAATACAACTGGTAGCAGTAAACACTGAAAAGTGGCCTCAGATCTTGAATCAGTCAGTTTCAAGTTGGACGCAGATTATTTATGATGAAAATGACCAGCATTCTTTTTCAAGAATTGTACTGAGAATAGTGTGAGTTTTGTTTTGATTTGATAGGTCAGTTGCAGTGAAGTCTTATTTTTATATCACATATCTGTGTTTCAGTGTTTACTTCTATCGGCTGCTAGACTCTTGAATGTTTGTATGATAGCAGAACAGAGATGTAGGAAAAAGCCACGGTTAGGTATTTGCAGAGAAACTGTACATGGTTTATAATTCGTCTTTTTTTATTTTAGAGGATTGAAAATTAATTACAGTGTTTTAAACAAAATTCCAAAATCATTTCTGAGTAAGTGTAAATCGATTATCGTCTATGATTTTAATAAGTACCATCATAATTTGCATATAAAGGTAACACTGTGTCATATTTTATTACTTAAGACAATTATCAATACAGTTCCACATGGTATTAGAAACTAGTTCTTTGTCATTATGATGAATTTTCATTTCTTTTTAAAGTTAATTATGTGCAGAAGATTCAATGCAAGTATCATGAAAGAACATTAAGTTTTCCATAAACTGCCTGGTCTTAGATAGTAAAGTTATGTTTTCTCAGTAAGGTTTAATGTCTTAAACAGCATAATTAAGACAGTACCTTTAATTCACCTGAATAACAGGTGTTCCACAGACAATGTTGCTTCTTGACTTCTGGTTTAAATTAGGAATGACAAAATAGCTGTTTCATTGATATAACTTTATACATCGCATTTAACTCTTTCACTGCAGAGCATTCAATAATTCAAGGTTCATCAGCAGTCACTTTCCATCAAGTTTGCATTATTGCTAGTTTAAACTTTGCAGCCCTGCATATGTAAGTTTTATGGAGCAATGTTTTTCTTTGAAGGTTAAGATGTCTGTTGGCAATCTGTAGAAGCTTTTGCCATTTTTAAATATGCCTTTTTTTTCAAAAGGTGTTTCAAGATACGGCTATATTTTACAAGTTGTACGAACTTGTAGGTAACATTATCATGTTGTTAAGTGGTCTTCTTCTAGATGTAAACAGCTTGCAGAAGACAACATTAGTAAACTCTTATTTGCAGATTCTGAATCTTAAGGTGAATATGAGGATGGTAAGTAGTTTAAATAATAAAATTAATGTTAAAAAATTCAAATTTATTTGTGCAGCCAAGTAGTTTTGTACTGACAAAAATTACACAGTGAAGGAGTTAAACACCTGTTTTTAAACCATGATCATGAAAAGTACTTTATGTTTGTGAGACTATCTTACACAAGTATGAATTATTTACTGCAAGAACATTGGAAAGGTTAAGTAGTTTTTAACTCTTGATTGTGTATACGTAACTTCCATGACTACAGATGATAGATGAATGTTATGGACAGCTATTGAATTAAATTAAACATTGTTGTTAGGCATAACAGAACTATAAAGAACTACTTAGAATGTATTTTAATTGTGCTTCTGATTTTCTTAAAACATGGACAATTAAGAATAAGAATGAAATTAAAGGATAAAATGCAAGGGTTCTTTATTCTATTCCTTGTTGAAAGGAACTGAAAAAGAAATGCTCCAAATTTGGACTTTATTATAATAGTAACAACAACATCAATAATAATAATGGTGATGACAAAATTTGTTTTACAGTTTCTGAGAAACTTTGAGTTTTTATAGTTTTCAATAAAGCAGATTTATGTGTTTTAGTCAGGTGACGGTAAGATACACAGAAAATGGTGTGTAAATACAGTGTTCATGTAATATTTTTGTTGAATGGTTTCATCAAAGTTCCTTGAAATGTTTTTGCTTCAAACACTGTGGTTTGTGAATGGAAATGTTATTGACAGTTCAAGTATACAGGCTTTGAAAGTATTGTGAATATATTATTATGCAGTTCATGTCTTGGTTCTAGTTGATCCTGTATGGCAGTGTTCTACATAAAAAGTAGGACTGTGTTTAATTTAAATTAATTGAAGTAGTGTTATTTAAATATAATATTTTGTGTGTAAAGTAAAGAATACAGGGGTCAGTGTTTTTGAAGGTGGTAATAGGGATGAGAGTCAATGATTAATTTTTATACTTAATTTTTACAAACATTTTCTGAATACAAGTGCATTGATGTTTGAGAATCTAAGATTGAAATAATATCTGATCTTTATATGGAAACTTTCTGTATATTAATTTAAATTATTAATTTTTCTTTTAATATTCCAGTTACAAAAAATTAGTCTCTCTGTATTCTCAAATGCAAATTCATAAAAATTAATATTGTTTTAGACACTGTTCACAAGTCCTATGAAAAATAAACAAGTAACTGATCAGATTGGTCTTGGTACATATTTATTTCCAAAAACTGTTGGTGTGCATATAACAATTGAAAGCATAAGAAAATTGTCTATGTCAGCACTCTTAGCTGTTTGGTGCCACAGTTACATCAAACATTATATAATTGTAAATGGCACCAACACTCCTTGTTGCTTTAGTACAGCCCTGGTGGTGACCTTAATGAGATATCTGCTGTTGCACATTTTCAGAAAGTTTCAGTTTATTGTATCTATGTCATTGTTTTAAAACCACATAACTAGCATTCACTTTGTATGTGAGATGGTGTCTTAATTATGATTTTATGTATTTCATAAATTGAAATAATTAGTATTCAGGATCAAAACATAAAGTAACAGTAAAAATGTATCTTCCATGAAAGATTATGGCTTAGTGAACTATTGAATATTTAAGTGGATCCAGGTGTTAATATAGACATAACTTTTAATGACATACCTGGCAAGATCTCAGCTGGTGCCAAATTTTGCACTAGTGCCAACGATTTGCCATCCCCTATCCTTGTTTCATGTGCTGGATCTGAGACACAAGAATGTGTAAGTTATGACACATTTAAAGAGGCTATGATTATTAAAGACATACAAACCCTGTATAAAATTACTTGTCAATTCCTTGTAGTTCTGGATTAAATAGATGGTCTATAGCTAACAGTGAATTGATCTTCCTCTAATTTTAGTAACCAAATTAGATTATCATTATCACTGCTGTAATACAAGAGGTAAGTAGTGTGTTGTTATTTTGAGAGAGACAGAACTATAAGTTTGGGATATGGGATATTCCACACAAACATGATGCTAGACCAGTGGTTCTTTACTGGCATGCCATGAGTTTTTACGAAGTGCAGGGTGAGGCTTTGAATGGAAGAATGATTATATAAAATTAAATAATCAAATGATTGTTAATATATCACATTTTCCATAATTGAGTATATTTTAGTAATTATTGAAAGCATAACAGTAAACTTACATTAGAAACAGCAGAAATTGGTGACAATGGTAGTATCAGTTAATTGGTGGTTTTGTTACAACAGTTACTGTGAAGGTATGTCACCTCACTCCTTGTGGAAAATAATTTGTACAGACTCCATTTGTGATAATGATAATTGCCATGTTATAATCCATTATAACTTGTGTAAGAAATGAGTAACACCAAACTCATTTCTTACACAAGTTCTGTTGAGGGAAGTGCCCTTCATTGAAAGAAGCTTCCATTGAAAAAACGAATTATAACAAGAAGTGTCCATAAAAATGGACAGATTTGTTAAAGGAAGTGATGGTGAAAAATGTGAAACTACTAATCAAAAACCCAGTGTGAGCAGGACCAAGTGAAGTAATATCCCCCCCAAAGAGAGAGAGAGAGAGAGAGTAGCAGTAGTGCAGTACTATAGGACATGAAACAACTTTACTTACATAATGACTTATTACCTGGGTATGTTTTTGGTTACTTTAAATTTGCACGGTAAGAAAATTATTCAGGTCAAAAGTTTTACATAAGTTGCAATTTTATATACCCAGAATTTAACCTAAGAAGTGCAGTAGCAGGACAAAAAAATTGCCACCACTCATTACCTTGGTGTGTTTTCAGCTCCAGTTAATGTGTAATTGTTGCATGAGGTTATACTGAAAGATATAATTTTATGTGTAGGCAATTGACACATTATTTTGCAAGCGAGGAGAACGTGGAAGAACTTTGAATGTTCAGGTATGATATGACTATAGACTTTAGTATTTAGACATGAATTGTGAAGAATACTAATTTAATTTTAAAGTGACTGTAGCAGATAAAGCAGACCAAACTCACAATTTTTAGCTGTATGATGTATTATATTACTTTCTCATTTTTATTTCTGATATTAGGGATTTGTCATACATTCAGAGTTGTCTTGGATTTGAGTGAATGTGTATACAAAGCCAAAAAGATGTGCTCTTAATCCCATGTGGAATGTGTGGACTTCATTTATTCATAATACTGGTCATTTGAAAATACATCCCTTGGGACACAGTAGTGTTGGTGTTGGTAATGGTAGTAATACTGAGCAGATTGGTTTAGTGGAAATGCTCAAGAATTATGTCTTCAGTCTCCCAAAGCAAACACTGGTAGAGTGCCTTGAAATAGGCCATGACTACCACCTCCAGAATCCTTAATACTCCCCAATCATGATCATCTTCCATCTCTTTCAATGCTGTATAACCTCTGCAGTCAAAAGAGTTTCATTAAATAACATAATAGTCGGTAAGTGGTGTAGTAGTACTAGTACTAGTTACTGCAGAATTAGCAATAGTATTAGGTTTAGAGGCTCTTCAATGGCTGTGGTTATTCAACTCCATGAGATACAGGATACAAGATTTCATAAAATGTAGGAATGCAAGGATTCTTGTTCACTACATAGTTTTATATACAGTTTAATGATATCAGGCATTTTTTAACAATTAAAGTTTTAAATAGTACTCAACTAATGATTAATTAAGCATACAGGTGGTAGCATAAATGCCAGAAACTTCAACTTCTTTCTCAGATAACAGTTCAAAATGTTCATCTGATAAAATCTGACATTTGTACTTTTGAAGCAGGTTTATTTAAAAGTTGTTAGCTGCCAGTTGTAGTGTGTTAAAGTGCAAACTGCATTGCTGGTAAATTAAAATTAAATGTTTTTTCTGACTATTCGAGGAAGTTTTTGAAATTAATTTAATCAAATAATGTGTGTTATAATACCGTGAGTATGCAATAGTTTTGAGTGGTGGTTTAGAAAAGTTTTTTTTAATATTCTTAAGAAAGATCCTTTATTTTCCTTAATTGCCAAGAGTTACAAACATAATAAGACATCTACAATAATTTATATTCTACAGTTTTACTGGTAACATTTTAAACATGTTCTATGGTGTTAATTTTGCAAATTCATTTTGCCTAGTTTACATATTTATAATTTTGATCGTGTTATAGAACAAAGGATTTTGCAGGAAAAGATTGTGATGGTTTAAAGTTTCATTAATTGTTTACCAGTTACAGTGGAGATGTGAAGGAACTTGTGTCAAGACTAAGCCAATGGGAAAAGTAAGCAAGGAGTATAGACTGGAAATGTACCTAGAGAAGACAGTAATGTTAAAACTTCAGAAATCATAGTAGTAAAAATAAATGGAAAAAGATTAAAGTAGGTAATTTTGTCTATATGTATTAAGAAATTAGAAAGTAAATTCCAAGCAGTTGAGATGAAATTCCTGAGCAGAATAGTGGGAAAATCAGGAGAGAGAGAATTATTAACACATTCATTATGGGATAGCTCAAGATGAAGGATATATAGAACCAAACTGAGAGAAACAGATTGATATGTTTGGACATGTTAAAAAAATGTATGAGCACAGAATACCCAAAAGATTATTGGAAATGAAGGTGAGTGGAGGAAGACCACAGACATAATGAATAAATCAAATTAACAAAGATATAGAGAGGAGAAGAGGGTAATTGAAGACAAGATGTGCAAAATCTCTTACACACTGGCTCAAAGTGGTGACATGATTTATTACTGGATGTGCAGTTATAGTTCTATAAGAAATGTAATTCCCTTCCTCCTCTTTTGTTTATCACTAAATGAGCATGACACTGCCCCTGTACACTGTTGTGGTCACCACACCTGCATCATATTTAGGAGATTCCCAGTTTGGAATACTAGCCATTTTGACCCAGGTTTTGCAAGCCATTCCTTAGTCTGTCCTGTCAAATTATAGATTCTTCATATACTGGTAGGTCATAACATTGTCCTTTCAAACCCATATTTCTGTGTGAGTTGGTAGGTCCATCCAAGGCTGCATTTCTAAGGGGGATGTCACGCCACTCCAGTCAGTCATTTAGCACTCATTGTAATTTGCAGAATTGTCAATTGACTTTGTGAAAGAAGTATTCCAGCTTTAGTGCATTAGTGAAAATAAAATCAGTGTATCTGATGAATTAATTCATACTGATATATCTCAGCCATTTCATTCTTACTTTTCATTTTGTGCATGGTGCATATTGTAATGTACAGTTGTTTTGTCACAACCTCAATTCCCAATTCTACACTGTCTTACACTGTCATGTCAGCATGCATCAAATGCTTCTTGGGTGAAAGTATTGATACTGGATACCATTCCACCTTTCACATAAGGTGCTTAATTAAGCAATACCTATGATTCATATTGCAATGGAATTGGTGACTACACTGCTGTGAAAGATGGATTTATTAAACACTGTATTATAATTATTTGATTAATGTTCTGCCAGTTTACAAATAGTCTTGATTGTTGATTCCCAGTCTCTAGACTTTTATTTCAGTCCAGTCATTAGCATGTTAAAGTTTACACTACACTGCTTGTAGCTCTTTCTGTGTCCAACAGTCAGCACATGACTTGCTTATCTGTTCTTCTTATATAGCAGTCATGATGACTGGAGAAAGGTCTAGCTCAGTAGAATGTTCCCAGTCTTTTTAGTATATGCTCATCCTTCTACCATCAGCCAGAAACTTAGAATGTTTGGTGTGCATCAGCTGCTTGATATTACGTGAGGCTGCATTGGGGAGGGTAGTAACTCATGCTTGCATGCCTCTCCTGTAGTAACTCTTGGGTTCTGATTGACATCATGGTGGAATATGTAACAACATACTAAATTAAGACACTTTCATATACTGACCATCTTCTCACTTGAAAGAAATACATTCAAATGACCTTAGTAATAAATTGAAGCTCAGTTATCTAGTCCATACTCCCATCACTTCACTGACGGTGCCAAGTAGTAGTTTGATTCATTTTATGTTACTGTGTCTTCTGTGGCAAACTCTAGCTGTGAAACCATCTAGAAACCAGTATTATACATATGGATAATTGAAGTTAAAGTAGAATTTATAGATCTTTATTTTCTTCATTCATTACATCTGATGAAAACACTTTATACAATATATGTCAAGAAAAAGCTTATGTTCATGACATGAAAGATCTGTTATGTATTAATAATATCCTTTCTTTCACCTAACTGAAGATAAAAACACTTTGTGAACACAGGTAATTGTTTATCTAAAATGTCACAGAAGTTATATATCAATGTACAGTCTAGCTTTCATTTTTCTGTCACTCCTCAAGACTACTTGCAAAGCATTCTCTGCTCCTGTAAGAACTCTTTCTTACTTTGCAATGACATTTCATTAAGGTATATTTAATATATATTTAAGTTGGTGAGTAATTTTTAAATAATATTTTATTTTCATATCAGTGTTATGAAATTAAGTTCAATTTCCAGTTAAGTTTGACAATTTAATGTCAGTCAATGTTTTTTACTTTTCTCAGGGTGACATGGGTGATATATGAATTACATAATTTTATTTCTTCCAAAAACATGAATGTGTAATCCTGAAAATGGATGTATTAGGCACGAAACTACCATCCTGATTAGAGATCATAAAGAAATATTTTGAGAGACTTTCCAGTTATATTTCAAGTGATTATGTGGTGGGTTACAGTGGGGAGAAACTTGCAATTACTTTGTTAATGTATCTTAATATGCAGTTGTGAGCTGGTGTAGCTCAGACAGTAAAGTGACTGGCTATTGACTGGACAACTTGGGTTTGATCCCTGATGGGCAGAGGATTTTTCCTCTAGCCTCTGCATCCAGATCAGCTCTGGGGCCCACCCAGTCTCTCCCCCAAGTGTCTCCATGACGTGTAGCAGGACAGCTGTAATTTTTGCTTATCTTAATAAGTAAGCAACCTGTGTGTGAGTATATATATCTTGTGTTGCTAGCTGCTGGTGACAGAGCATATGAGTATAAACTTTTATCATCCATATGATTTCCTACATTTTTGATATGAAGACTGTCGTTCCAATAAGAACTGGGATATCTATAGCATAATCATGGATGAATGCTGTGTATGTATAGTACTGCAACTGTTGCTCCAATTATGAAATGTTGAAAATGTGAAGAACTGATATTCCCAGAGAGCACTTTTTGAGTCAAGAGCTGTGATACAGTGATCATCTTGATAGGAATTGAGACATAAATGAAAGCCTCTCCATTTTATGCTGTCTGAGTATGGTATGTCTTCATATTTCTGTCTTAGTTACATTTAGTGGCTACCATCAGCAAAATTACAAATAGACTGATTAAATGGAATGTTTAGAGGATCTGAAAAGAAATAATTATGAATATTTGAAAAAGTTCACAAGAATTTAGGAAATATTAAAAGTACTGTCTTTTTAGTGCACCTGGAAGCTTGTGTATTTTAATAATTTATTGTATGGCATTAGTTAAAATTTGTAGACGAAGTCCATTCCCAGTGTTCTCAAATTTAGAACAACATTTTATGATAAGGCTGTCAAAGATGCAATTAAGAATAGATATGGTATTTCAGCTTACAGAAGAAATTATAATTAGAACTTATTTGCTTTAGTCTTGTAACTTAAAATGTAAACATCTTTACTTCCTCGTTTTTATGTAGGAATAATAAAAGTTCTGTCAACTACCTGTTAACACTTGCACATGCTATCAATTGAACATCTCATCTTTAACAAATAAAAAAATTCAGTAATCAATTAAGGATTTGTATATGATGTTATTAAATGTGAGAAATGTAAGAAGCTAGTAAAATACTCCATATTGTGAACACCATACAGTGCATTGTTGTCAATGAACACGATTGTATAAGTTTAAGTTTTGTGTGTTTAAATGTAAAGAAATCATATGTAGAACACCAATTGAATGTAAAAATCAAATTTGTATTGTATTGAAATGAGGATATTAATGAAACTAAAGAATCTAAATATACTAGTTGTAAGTTTAATTTATTTTATGCATTACTTAGGCCTTCACTTAAACCCAGAAATGGACTGTATTCTAACACACGTTTGCCTTGAAGTACAAGTAATGTGGAATAATTTGGACAAGATCAGTTTCTTTTAATATTTAAAGTCGTATGCATGCATTTAATGATACATTGCGAGGTCATGAATCAGTTAAGTAACATGTTCTGATGCAGCTAAATTGTGTTCATATTACATGGCTTAGCTGTTACATGAAAATTTCTGCTGGAGTCTGTTCTTCCTTGTAGCCAAAGTCTTGTTGGTTCCTTTGGTTTAATTCCTTCAGCACAATGTTGCCAAATCAAAAACAACATGACTCAACTGCAATGTCCTTGGTAGCTCCTTTACATTTTCTAATTTAATACTTTTACCTGTGTGTGTGAATATGACCAACTTGTTCCCATGTTCTTCTCTTATTTGTGTTATTTTGGCCTTCAGCGTGTTTCTGAAGCATTGTCATTTTTGATTTTCTAAAAACTGAACTATAGGAAATTTGAATTTTCTTAGAATCTCCAATTTTTCAAAATATTGAACATTTTGAAATTTATGTAAGTATCTTTAAAATAATTTAAATTTTGAGGTTTTAAAACGTTTATTTTTTTAAATTTTTGTTTTTTGAAAACTGAAAATTTTGAACAGGTTAGAAGAAGATTAGAGAGGTTTAGATGTGTCTGCACAGGCTGGTCCTTGAAGGTCTGTTCGTAGTCTGGGCTGGGCTTTCGCCAACCATTACATTCAATGGTGCATTATTTTTTGTACCTAAACGATCCACTATTAAAATATAGTTACAAGAAAAATGAGTTATAATTCGAAATATTTTGAGTTGTCATAATGCATACATTTTAAAGCATATTGATGGGTGTTTATTTCTGGACATCAACCAGAGTTACCGTTTACATTTTTTAAATTGTTCGAATATGTCGCTGATCACGCTGCCGATCATGAACCTCATATCGGTTATTAATGATGCCAAGATTGTAAATGATGTACACTATCCATAAATGTTGCTGCTTTCGTCATGTAAATAAAAGCGATGTAGGTCTTGATATATTTCAAAGATGTCGCCAGTTATGTTGCGGTCTTTCCTACGTTCAATCAGCTGCTGAAACCGAGTACATTTATTCGATTGCTTAAATGTTCGAATATTTCGATACTTTTCATTTGAATGCGCCCACAATTTCGCACTGCTTTTACCTGTTGATACGCGTTAAGTGGATACTCAGAAGGAATTAAAATAATGAGTTAGTAGAGCATTGTGCTAAAATGCTATTATGTTTAAAATTATTATGACCTTATGGAAGATAGTGCAAAGACATACTTACGATTTATTGTCACATAAATATTCTGTGATCATTATCTTAATAACTTTCAGTACCATATTACTTTCCGTCATTCAGTTTGGGGAGGTTAGTGTTTGCTAAGTAACCTCTTATTGTGTATTATGTTTTGAATACCTCGAATTTACAAAGGAAGTTTACTTCGGTTACTCTTTTTTATCGTCAATTTCACGCGCACAGTATTTTCGTGTTGTATCAATATAGTGCATGACAGTGGTTGCTGTTGTGTAACTTAAAACCATTGAAATAAACTATTGTATGCAGCAACAAACACATTCTAGTGTAGTTGTATGCAAACCCAACAATTTACGAACTCCATTAGAGAGCCACACTTTGTCAGCAACCAGTATTGGCGTTAAAGCAAAGCAAGGGTAAATTGACATAAAACAAAGAAGGATTGGATCTGATAGGGCTCATAAACTTCTGTTGTTTGCTGATGATGATTTAACTTTTTGGGTGAAAACATAAAGAAACACAGAAGCTGTCATAGAAAGTTGGTTTTGAAGTAAATAAAAATAATAGATGTAAATACAGAGAAAACTGAACATTTATTCACATCTTTGATCAGACGTAAGGACAGTAACATATATAGGTAGTTATTAAATCCTCTGAAAATGTGCCAAAGTTCAGATATTTAAGAACAGTGATAATAAAAATTATGGTCACAAGGAAATTAAGAGCATACTAAATTCAGGGAATGCTTGCTGAGGTGATATGTTCCTCCAAAACATCCAAATTGACTGCCCTTCCTAGTAATCTCATCATATATCCATCCCATTTGATTGCTTATAATCTCTGCAGTTGAAGTACTGTCACGAAGTGATCTAACATTCAGTCAGTCAACATTTCTGTTAGTTAAGCATTACTTTGCTTTGTTATTAATAATAATAATAATCCATGGCGTAACAGCCCTATGTGAGCCAAAGCCGACTAGCTGACTGCTGGCCTCACGTTTACATGCCTAAGCAGAGGTGAACGATCATTCAACCAGATATAGGGTGATGTGTGGTCAGCACGACGAACCTCCAGCCATTGCTAGTTTTCATGATCGGATTACGCTACCCATTGTAGCTCCCCAATTTCCTCACGATACTGGGTTGGCACCAATCCCATATACTGGTCAAAAGTCTCATGAGAAATTTCTTTCCCCGAGACTCGAACCAGTGCGCATTCCGTATCACCGGTCCGAAGCATGATGCCTCAGACTGCGCGGCTACAGTGCAGGACCTTTTTTATTAATGGTATTGACAAAAGAATGCTCCTTTAGTATTATGATAATTAGTGTCAAAATTTCTCTTTAGGTTTGGATGACATGGAGTCAAGAGAATTATAAAGCAATCTTTAATTCATTCAGTGATAACATTGTGGGAAAGTCATTACAGAGTAAACTGTGTCAGAATGTACCAATTGATGCAGTGTATACATGGGTAAATGGGTCAGATCCTGTTCTCCAACAACATCTCCAGCAGTATCATCTACAGCTTCAAGAAGAAGCCTCAAAAGAATGCCCATATGCAGATTGTGTGCCTTCACACATAATTATATTCAGGCAAGCCTGCTCTAAATATAAAATTATATTAGTGTGCAAGCCACAAGCTTTATTAGATTATTTCAGCAGGGTTTGTCAGAAGTGCAGTGCAGTACTTTAGTCCCTTGTGATCCATATTCCCCATAGTTTGCTGTGTTGAATACAATTTGGAAATGGTTATAAAAAAATTAACCCTTTCATATCAACATACTGTCTCGGTGCACAATCTGTACTATGTTAAGGAGAATGCATAATCACTGCATGACACCTGTTTTAACACTTAATGTGAAGAAAATATTTTGTTTTCTGTGCCATCTATCATACATTGTTATTATTAGGAATAATTGCTTTTACATTGCAGGCTTTCTTTTTTTATATCTGTGTACATAAACAAGGTGAAAACCACTGTGCAGTTGTTACTATATTATGTAAACACAGTCAAGCAGGTTGGTGCAGTGATAGTGATGTACACATGTATTCATTCAGAATAAGTTCTGTCAAACCACACTTTTAATTTCTGACTGACCTGATAGCAATTTTCACAAATGTTTTATTAACCTTTTTAAGGCATTGGCTGTCAGATGAAACAGTTTCACATGTCTTATTGCTTCCGAACATCAGAGGAACAAATGCTTCACTGAAGCATAGAATGATAATCGGGAGCAACAACTGGACTCTTATTGAGTTGAACTCACCAGATGAAGCTGCAGAAGTTGTGAAACTGATGTTACAGTCTAATGTTACCCTACTTCATGCTCACTGGACCTCAGGTAAGTCTGTATGTGTTTGTTCTTTTCACATAAATTGACTTTGAAGATTAAGACAGAAATGTAGATTTTGAGTCCATAGTTTATATGCTACTGTTTGCATTTAGGTACTATACCTACAGGTTGGTATGGGAGTCAAGTCTGCATTTGGTTTACATCTTGTGGTCACTGGCCAGATTTGAGATCATGTCTGAATAATTTATTTTTACATTATGGCATATTTAAAACATATACAGTTAGTTTAAATATTTTATAAATATTGAAAATGGTTTTGTCCAGCCTACAATCACTTTGAAAATAGTCTTCTCTGGCTTACCTGTGCGCTGTATTGGGTTTGCAAAACATAGAAGTTTCTAAAAGTCATTGCATATCCCTTAGAATTCTGTCCCATATCCTGAAGTTATTATTTATTTTTCAGATAGCACAGTCTCTAAAACAAATGAAGATTTTAACACTGTACTTATTAGTGGAATACCCAGCACTCTGCTCGAAGAGAGAAGGAGTATTTTGCATGCTGACCTGAAAAAACATATGCAGTCAAATATAGAACATCTTTGGGTGTATTCTGAGAAAAGACTGGTAGTGGTTAAAGTGGACACAGCAGAAACTGTCAACAGAATTGTACAGGTACATATCTCTATACTGTGGAATACACATGAAATGTCAGATTGTATTCAGTAATATCTTGCAGTGGTTTTGCAGTACATATAAAAATTATGCCACTGTTACATTGCATTAATCACTGTGAATGACTTTGTTCAAATGCTAATAAACAGTTTTCAGTGTCAGTCACTCAGTTACATTACAGTTTTTAAATGGGTATAAAATTGTTAGTATTGAAAATCTTTGTCTTCAATAAAATTTATATTTGCATGCCACAGTGTAATTTTTGAAAACAAATTACTGTTAACCCTAAAAAAAATACAATTTCATGGTAACAAAATGCTTAATTCCAGATAAAGTGATCTAATAACTTGAGAGATGAAGAAACTTGTATAAAATCTCATGAACTGTGTTAAATTAAGCTATTTGTTTAGTTTAAGACTGTAAATATACCTTTGGACAGATTTTTGAAAGTTTTGCAGCTCTTTAAAACAAGTTACTTTATCAAAATTTGAAGTTGAAGCTTTTTGTCATTTTATTTGATTATTTTTACAGTGTTAATATTTTTCTCAAATAAAAATACCCCCCCCCACCCAAAAAACAACAACAAAGCGGTAACTTTGTAGTTATCCTTGTATATGCTTTGATTGCTGGTAGGTCAGCATTTTACTTTTTTTGTGTAACTCCCTACAATAATTTTTGTACCTTCTACAAGGCCACATGTTTCCCTCCAATTTCTTTGGGGGGAGGAGCAGCAATGGATAATGTTTTTTATTTCATTTCCCAAATCTTCTATTGAATTTCTGTTTTCATATTTCAGTTGACAAACAGAATGACCATAGGTGGAAGTGTGGTGAATATAAGTAAAGCATACCTTATTTTGGAACTACCTCTAACAGATAACAGTAAGGACTTCTCTCCATCACGCTTTGAGGACAAAGAGGTTAGTTCTGAATGTTTAATATTTAGGCATTTAATGTACTCTGCTGTATATTATTAATGTTGTTAAGAAGATTTGGTATTATTCTACTTCTAGAAAGATGCTGGGGTTGTATCTTATAATTAAATTAATGTATTAGCACAGCAATAATCTCTATTGCTCACATTCAAATAGTACTTAAAGTACTTCCACTATCACTCATACAAAAGTATTATATGTTTCAAAATATGGAAAATAATTTTGCAAAGTATTTTAGAAGCATCCTGAATAATTAAAAATGTGAAACCTGTTAAGAATAAAATTGTTAATACTTATTTTTTATTTTACTAGATGTCTTTTATAGAATACCATAGATTTCTGTTTTTTTTTTATATTTACATGTTACATAATTTCAGTGCATAATTTATTTGACCTTTAAGATACAGGACTTTAAATTTCCTTACATTACCTAAAAGCCAGATTAAATCAGCATTTAAAAGCTTTAAAGAGCAGAGGATCATAATGGAAATTGTAACCACTTTATTGCTGTTTTTAACCTAGAATCTTTGAATAAAATGTGTACTATTAAGGGTGAATAACTTTTTCACCATACTGAAGTCTTTTTAAATAATCAGACCAACAGCTGAGTTTACATGTCATACGTTCTTCAATACGTGTCCCTTTCGGCTCTTTAAAGATAAATGAAAAGTCAGCTTTCGAAGTTTGCATCATCTCTATCAACATTATGTGCACCTTCTTAAAATTGCTTTCATTATGAAGCAAACATTTTTCTAGCCTTAAAATAATTCTTTTATTCTGTTACATTTAATTACAGGAACTACGTTACTCATTACGATCGCTTGAAAGATTTGCTCCATGGGTCCGGCATGTTTACCTTGTGACAAATGGCCAGATACCATATTGGCTAGATCTGGAAAACCCCCGATTAACTATTGTCACTCATGATCAGATCTTCCCTAATCTGTCTCATCTTCCAACATTCAGCAGTCCTGCTATAGAAAGTCATATACACAGGTTAGTCAAATCAGTCATGGAGAATGCATCATTTTAGCCTACTTTTCTTATCTTATAAGGAAGTTTATGCTTGTGGTATCATATAGCTTTTTTCATCAGTAGGTTTGTTCCCCCAGTGTTTTTAACAAACTGATAGGTTTTCATAAAACTTTGTATGAACATTATGCTGCTGGAGGCTACTATCTCCCTATATTTTTATATTTCCCACCATCACTTATACAGACACAGTAGCCATGCAAACTGTGGTGGTGTGAGCAACACTGTCAACATTTCATATTGGTTAATGAAATTTTGTGTGGTACTGAATCTTAGAAAAATTGAACTTTTGTTTTGGTAATTGTCTGTAGAATATAAAACAACATGGTGTCTATGTAGGATTTGTGGTTTTCACAGTCTGAAGATTGCTGTCTTCTGTGTTATTGCGCTGTGTAGTGTGGTTTCATCGCCCTGATGACGGAGGCAGTATGACCTCTGAAACGTTGGTTAACATCGACCAGACTACACAGCGCAATAACCCAGAAGACAGCAATCTTCAGCATGGTGTCTACATTATACCTAGGATAATTTTTTTAGTTTGATGGCAGGAACTAGGCATATCGGAGCAAGGTCTCTGAAATTTTGTAAGGAGACAGATTCTAAATATATCTACAAAGGCTGTATGAAACATTTTCTTATGCACAGTTACAATCATGATGATGGTGTGAAATTTTGATAAACTATATGACAGAGTTAACTTACACAGAAACAATAATGATGTAAATTATTCACATAAATGGATAGCTAAATTCTGTAATTATGAACATACATTCCTTTCTAAGCCCACCATACAAAATCAAGAATTTGAAGCAAAACGGGAGTAATAAATTCTTCCCAGAACTTCTTGGTTTGTTATTTGAAGTTGTATCTTGTGTTCTAGGATCCCTGGTCTTTCTCGTAAATTCCTTTATCTAAATGATGATGTCATGTTTGGGAAAGAAGTTTGGCCAGATGATTTTATTACTAATTCTAATGGTCAGAAGGTATGTAAAAGAATCACTATGCAGTCTGTATCCTTGTGCAATATAACTGTACCTGTTATGTACGAGGGTCGCTCATTAAGTAATGCCCCACATTTTTTTCCTCAGAACATATTTATTCAAGATGGCTCAAATTTAGTGACAATATAAATCAATGTTTCCTTTACACATACTATTTTTCCACATAGTCCCCATCAACTTGTACGGTTTTACGCCAGCGTGGAACAAGTGCATGCATGCCTTGCCGGTACCAGCTCTTGTCCTGTGCACGTAGCCATGTCCTCACTGCTTGAATCACGCTCTCGTCATCTTCAAATCTTGTTCCGCGGATAGCATCTTTAAGTGGCCCAAAGAGATGAAAGTCGGAGGGTGCCAGATCTGGACTGTAGGGTGGATGGGGTAGCACCGTCCAACCCAATTTGGTGATTTCTTCCCGGGTTCTCGGACTTGTGTAAGGGCGTGCATTGTCATGCAGGAGCAAAATTTCTGCTGGATGCTTGTGAGGCCAAACTCGTCGAAAACGCTTCTTGAGGGTTTTCAGGGTCCTGATGTACGCGTCTGAATTGATGGTCGCACCTCTTGGCATCACATCCACAAGAATGACCCCATCACTGTCCCAAAAGACAGTCATCATGACTTTTCCGGCGGAGGGAGTTGTCTTGAATTTCTTCTTTCTCGGTGATTGAGGATGATGCCACTCCATTGACTGCCTTTTTGTCTCTGGCTCAAAGTGGTGTATCCAGGTTTCGTCACCTGTAATGATCCGGGACAGAAAGACCTCTCCCTCAGCATCAAAACGCTCCAACAATTCAGAAGAAATCGTTTTCCTTTGAATCCTGTGGTCCACTTCCTGAAGCTTTAACTCTCTTAGCCCAGCGACCAACGGTGCTCCTATCGACTGCACAGCTTCCATACACAGCACACCAACGTTTATGAATGTTCACCACCGTTTCTTTTTCAGCAACAAAGAATTCAATTACAGCTCGTTGTTTGTAACGAGAGTCGTTCACAGACGCCATTTTAACAGTTCACTACAGCTCCGCTATCGGTTGGAATCATTTGAAACTCCGTACACGAACGCGGGAAACATCAAATCTCAAGCATGTAAAAGTGCACTTTTCTATCTTCATTATTGGCTGAGAAAAAAAATGTGGGGCATTACTTAATGAGCGACCCTCGTATATGTTATTAGTTTATTTTTTCTGTGGCATTTACAAGTAAGCCTGCATTAAGGTTGTGCTATAACAATCACTGGGGTTCATGTCATGGGAATACATCATGTTGATATTCATTTGAAATTGTCAAGCCATTAGCCATGTATTGGAGTCTTAAACCTATCATATATTTGGCTTAACCCTCACTGACTGTGCATCAAGGTTTATATGCAGTCCAGCAGACCATATTACCCCTGTTAACCCTAGATTTAAAATCTGACTGGCAGCTTACCGAGTGGTCACTTATGATATAAAAATGGCCACTGAATTTAGAAGGTCCCAGTTTAATTCCAGCCATTGTTATTAATGATACAAAGAGAAGTCAGTATAATTGCAACCAATTGTCTGAAGATGAGAGTCGAGCCAACTCCTGAAACAGCGTGTATATATTATACACCTCATACAATGGACAGTGTCCAATATAGTGTTCATATAATGAATCAACTGTTGTCACAAGCCTTTAGAGAATCATGATGACTTGTCCATACACAGGGTAGGAGACCATTTAAATGGCTGATGTCACTGAAGGGTCTAATAAATGCAGTCAGTGAGCTAAACATATACCTATGAGAACCTGTTTGGCTTCAGGTAAGGTACTGGACTGTCATTCAACAAGCCTTGGGTTTCATCTTTAGTTATAATGAGATATCAGGTGAGATGTTACAAAATTTTCTGTCCCATTACCAGAGACCAAGCTTAGACTTTGCGAGTGCAGATGATACCAGACTACTGTGTGGTTCAGATTCCATATTAAGTTTTATGTTCCTTCTGCCATTCATTATTCTCACAACAATCCTATCATTGGGAAGAGCACAGATTGCCTCATGGGCTGTCATCCCAGAAGTAGATTCCTTCACCTTGCTCAACTTGCAGAGAGCAGGAAAGTTTGCTGCAAATGCAATGTACGGAAATGCTACAATATGTGACATATTTTGATATATCATTGCCAAAATTAATGAGAAATTGTGTTGAGTTTACTGGTTTCAGAATAGTTTATTAGGTGTATTAAAAAAATTAGAAGTCAGCTATTTCATCGTGACTGTCCATTTGTCTGTCCACAAGTAAAAGCACTCAGACAACGTGACCAGTAATAGTACTTAGTATAGTAGACTTGCACAAACTTTAAATTTTATTTGGCTCATTTCAAGGCCACTGTGCTCAATGATATTAATTAACTTGTACATATACAATTTGAGTCCTGTAACATATTTGATGATACTTAATACACAGCACATTTCTTACAAAATTACCATGTGTATGTTTCATTCACAATCTGTGAAGTTTCACAGGCAATATGGCTGTGCTATGGGCTGGATGACCAGGGTTTAATTCCTGAGAGGGGCAAGGATTTTCATTTTGCGAGCATGCTCAGATCAACTTTTCAGCATGGCCTCCTACCCCACAGGTACCAGGGCTCCCTTGCTTCGGGTAAAGTAGCTGGGGTGTGATGCTGGCCACTCACCTCCGTCTAGTGCTGAGCTTAAGAATGCGTGGAATTATGTCTCAAATCTCCGATATGTTTTAAGATGTGGTGCTTAATTATGCACAAGGATATTTGTTTAAAGCATGGTACTTCATTAAACAAAGGGACAAATGTTACCTTTACCATCTTTCTTAAGGTCCTAAATACATTTTTGAGTGAATCTTGCTATGTATTTGGTGCCATGAAGTATCTATATGTCCTATATAATGTTTGCATGATGCTAATTTATTCCAAGAAAATTCTTTTTCCTAACCTCATGCAGTTATCTTACCATCCAGCTGATGTCTACTTGATTTATAACGCAACACATATACCAAGACAGCAGACAGGTATCATACTTAAATGAGATTCCTTGCCTCTCCCAAAGATGCATTTGCCCATTCATCTTTTAACTGAGAGTTCTGAATGTGTTTCAGGTGTATCTCTCGTGGCCAGTCCCAGACTGCTCAGACAGCTGTCCTTGGTCCTGGGTGGCTGACGGTTCTTGTGATGTGACCTGCAATATATCCGAGTGTTCCTTTGATGGTGGAGATTGTGGCCTAAGTACTGAAGATGATATTGGTATCTATGATGAGAACCAACGTTTTGCTAACTATGATGATGATATTAATTCTTACAATGAAAATCAGCATGAATCTGTTAAAGAAAACTTGTTTTTCAACATGAATTTTGGTGGAGACATAGCTTTGAATGATCTACCGGATCCTGGGAAGAGGATGCATAGTCTTTTAGATACATTAACTAAAAAGAATATTAAGAAAGATCATCTTAAAGGAAATCTCTCACACTTTACAGTAGACACATATCCACATGAAGACATTAAATTTGCTTCAGAAAGGACAGCCAATCAAGACACAAGAAATACTAATCCTCAACCATATAAAGGAATGTATGGAAGTGAAAGAAATAATACGCTGTATTTGCAGAGAATTGTCCAGGTTCAGCAAAAAAGGAACTATAATACAAACTCAGGCAAGACTTTCATTATACCTGGGTCATCACTCATATTTCAGCAGAAGCATAATCAAGACAAAGACAACAACTTGCAAGTTAGAACAAGAATGGTAAATAATAACAATGGTACTAGCTTTCAACATAATAATTTTGGTAATAATGGCACTGACTTACATAAGAATCACATAAGTGATGGAGAAATGCATGGATGGTTTTATCCAAGACTTTTAAAACAAAATACAGGTAATTTGAAAGAAAGTGAGTTAAAAAGTAATGGTAATAATAAGTTTGTAGGAATGGGAAATTGGCAAACAATACAAAGTTCTAAATATAGTAAGGAGAATGCAAATCACAATCTTCTGTATAGTGTTGAAACAGTTAGTGGAAAATTTAATGAGAATCAGAATGTTCATGTTGCATCAAAGTTCAATCAGACATATGGCTCAGAGAAAGTAATCAGCTTACAGGCCATTAAAAACAAACCTGCAAGGAATGTTTCTTCTTACAATGCTAAACTTCACAAGTTGTATAAAAAATTAAATGGTAAATCTGATGAACCTGGGAGATTATATGCTAAGCATAATGCTGCTTCAGCTGATAAGAATCTTATCAATTCAGAACTGCAATACAATGATTATGATGTACATTGGAAAAATGAAGACATTGTTTCTAAAGTTTCTAAAAAGAAACACAAGACTCTAAAAATGTATGATGCTCAGCAGTATGACAACTCACTTTCAACAGGAAAGAAACCTCGTGACACATTTGCAGAATCTCTTTTGTATGTGAACAGGTTGTACAATCAGGAGTTTGGTTTTGAACCTCGTAAGGTTCCAGCGCACATGCCACATCTCATTGACATTGATATTATGGAACAACTTCAGGCAAGGTATTGTAACTGTCTAGTGTGTAAGCCATTCATAAATTCATATATAAGAAGAAATTAATTATTAAATTGGATAAGCCTGTGGGCAGTAACTGGGGAAATTCAAATACAAATTATTCAGACATGTTTTAGTCTGTAACAGCAGTCCCCAAACTTTTTCATATCCTGGAGCACCTGGACATTATGGTACTCTCTGTGGAATACCATGAAAAATGAATTTTTTGTCATCATGTTATATTATGGTATGTACATCCCAATAAATACATTCATGATGATTATGATGATTTAGTAACTAGTAGTAGTAGTAGTAGTAAGTAGAATTAAAATTATGATTTCGGGAATGAAATACCTTGGCCAAGCTGATAGAACAGCAGTGTTCTGTGGAAGCATAGTTCAGGAACCTCTGGTCTGTAGTAAAATGATGTGGTTTAGTTAGTGTGATTAAATACATTGTGTGTGCAATTTGAAATAACCAATAAAAATGGATTCAGGTGGGCATAGAAAATTTGCAAGGTTACTTTAATTGTTATGCATTCTTTGTATGATGTGTACAAAATGGATACATGTAGGGCTGATCATGTGTGTCTGCATGTTTCTGCTTAAAATCTGTTTAATAGATTTGTATGAAATTTGATATGGATGTTGTGCCTTTAGGATCTACCCTGAAATTGTTCTTTTAAAATTCTTGCAATTGGTAATACCAACATGGCAAATGAACTGACTTGTGAGGTATAATTTACAATAGACCATAAGGCCATACAATGATGAATGGGTACAGATTTTTGGAAAATACAAGACTTTGGTATAGTAATTTTTTGTAAATATAAATTAACAACATGGTGGCTGCAGGAAAGAAAAACAGATTTGACTTGACCAGGATTCAGCCCTATGACCCCAAGCACACAAGTCATATGTGGTGTCACAGACCTAACGCCCCTCTTACTGTGTGTTGATTTGAATACTTCTAGAAGACATTAAGACCACATGATTTGTGTAGTGGGAAACTAAATTTGTTTAAAGTAACTGATGTAATAGTAATATTTTATTAATAATTGTTATTTGAAAACTGTATCAGTTGGTTTTATTTGAAATTCAGAATTTTTGAAGATTGCATGTGTGTTGTCTGGTATAGATTACACCTTTCATGTCTTTTTATATATGTTCTACCAAGTGGGTGAAAATAGGCCAGCACTGTCTTATATGCCAATTAGTTATGTACATTGTTTCGATGATCACATGTTAGTTTGAGCAACATGTTTATAGTCACAGTAGTGCTATAACAGCTAAGTTCATAGATATAATGGAATATGTTCTTTTTGTTTATTTACAGCACTGGTTAAACAGTACATGCCAATACAGTGCACTGAGGTGAATTTGGAATTTTATAATTATAACAATTTCCACTGATACATAATACTTGTCTCCAGTTTTTTAGGTTATTCTTCATTGCACTCCAAATGATTTATCATTTGAATGTGTGCCAGCAGCACTGTCACCGACTATCTTCAGCCTATCTATCGGCTCTCTATGTGTTTGTGGAAATGGGTTGCAGGCTTGTTAATATACACTAGGTCTCCTGAGCAGACTACTCAGGAGGCAATGAGGAAACAAATTGAGACTAGTTAGACTTGTTCAGTCTGTTGTAGTGTGAGTAATTCTGTATTTTGCCATGTTGTCTCTCCAGTACCTACCTCAAGACAATGGATGGATAGTATGGCAATTTACAGAAGTACATACCACAGCAGATTGAACACAAAGCATCACAACTACTTTAAATAATATTTTATTAAATATTTTAAAGACTTTAAATATTTAATCTTATTTTATTGAACACATACTTGCATAATTGTTCAGTGATTTATGTACAAGAAAATGTAACAAGCTTTGTTGATGATTTCATAAAATTAAAACATGTTGCTCTGGAAATGTCATCAGTGATCAACTTCTGAAAATTGATTAAGGTGAGAAGTGGGATTTAACTCACTCACGTGTATGAAGTAATGGTGATTGAACAAAACTACTTTTGAATATTGATTGTTCTGTACTAGAGCAAGTATATATCTGAAGCATTGGAATTAAGACTGAAAAACAGTTAATATCTTAAATTTATTGTTTAACATTATGTATTTAATTTATTAATTTAATTGTTAAATTAATTGGTTAATGCAGAGAAGGTTTGTTTTAAAGAAATAAATGTTTTTCTTCCATGTTCTAATATTTATGCATTACTTTCCTGAAGTCATGTCAATATCTGTTCCAGATTCAGTCAACAGTTGCAGCTCACTTCATCCCACAAAGTACGTAATGCACATGATATGCAGTTTGCATTCTCATACTTCTATTTCCTGATGAGCAGTAAAGTGATCCTTCCACTGTCAGATATTTTTGATATCTTTGACACTGATCACTCTGGGTAAGAATTTTTAGATTTTCTAACATGCAGACTGTCCAAGTTGGTGTAACAGTAACTGTCTAGGCTTATGTTCAAGAGACAACCAGATTAAATCAGCTGGATTACTGGCTGTGCCAACTGGATTTTTTTATGTTTTTCCTCAGCTTCTGCAGGTGCCTGTTGGGATCATACCTTGGAATAAGTCATTTATAATCATTTTTCATGTTATTTGGTGCTTTATAACCTCTGAAATTAAAATAGTATCATTTAACAACCTACTAATCTAACATTCCAGTACAGAAGCTTTCTGTATTCTGGGTTGTTGTGCTTTGTAGTCTGGTTGATGGTTACCAACGTTTCAGAGGTCATACTGCCTCTGTCATCAGGGTGATGATGACAGAGGCAGTATGACCTCTGAAACATTGGTAACCATCGACCAGACTACACAGCGCAACAACCCAGAAGACAGAAAGCTTCATACTCACCACTGTGAAAACCTCATATCTTACATTCCAGTACAAGTTTGTGTGTCATGAGTGGGCCCAGATGGAGAACAGGGTTGGATAGATCTGTGTAGCAAACCATTGGTTTGCAGTATATCACTGATGGTTAGTCATTTCAGATTGCCCTAACATCAGCTTATTGATATAACATTAACTTTGATTTTCTAATAAGAATAGCCTTCTAATTAGAAAGTAAAACTTGATATGCAAAAAATAGTTTAATCTTGTTCTTGTTTGTTACCCTGCTCGTCTTTTCATTCAGCAAGCATTATTTCTTTAGTGTAATTATCTGGATCACTGCAATTAACGAACCTTCCCATCATGACAAGGTGGCTGCTCTTTATTATGGCTGATAACTTATGGTTGAATCACTGATTTTAAACACAGTATTTTTTACAGGTGGTAGAAGATAATTTAAAAATTTCTATTCAGCCATTGAATCATAGAATAAGTTCTTTATAACTCAGAAATGCATGTGGGTAATTTTAAAATAATGCAAATAATACTAGCTTGGAACATGTAGCAGTATACTGCAGTTTCTTAGGCTATAAATTGTATATATGTGACTTTGATAAGGATCATGCCAGTAAATGACATAATGTAGTGCAATAAAAAAATTCCTAGGCACAGGTAGTCTCAGAGTGCTGTCCTTGCCCTTGAGTGTCGAGAACAGTGGGCAGGGAGGATTGGCTGTGTTTAGGTTGAATCCAGAATTTTTTTTGACTGTACTACATAAATTTCAAAACATGCCCACATAACAATAAAATTTGTAAAGAACTGAATGAAATTAATTTTTAATCTGGAAGAAAAAAATTAAGAACAGAAAGATACCGGGCACACACGTCATCTGTTAATGGAACCAAATAGAATATATAAAAATAACAATTATAACATACAACTTAGTAGCCACAGATGTTAGTGATTACTAGTAGATGTCATTAAATCTGAAATGGAAGTGGCTAGGGGCCTGTGTTATCTTTGATGAACTTGAAATATTTGTTGTTGAATTACCCTAAATTTCTGGCTCCAAATATAAAGTGTTGGCAGGAAAGTTTACTTTAGCTTATATTATCAAATTAAGGGGTTGCACAAAGCAGGTATGGATTTATTTATTTAATTATCTTATTCATAGTATTACCAATAAAGCATATGCATATAAAATTCTGTTTAAATATTATAATAACATTAGGAATAATTAAACATCCATTGATTTCAGAACATGGTCAGATCGAGAGATTAGGACATTACTGACTCGTTTATACGATTTGCCACTGAGATATGCAGGAGTGGTGAAGTTTGAGAATGATATTATCAACTGTTCTAAGGAGCTGTCAGAAGAGTTGTCAAGTATAAATATTTCTACTCCACCGTATGAACGCTATCTGGACTCAAAACTGGTAAGTTATAGCTTGTTTTGCAAGTTACTGTTTGGTATATTTTTCATAATTTGGCAACCAAATGGGCTTGTCTGTCTGATTCAAAAAATGGTAGTCAATGTTTCTTAATTTATGTAACAGACTACATATGATTTAAATAATTTTCAGTGTAATTACATAAAAAATAAGTTGTGAATATATCAATATTTTATTGTTATGTTATGGAATTTTGTGTGCTAAAGTTCCGTTTCACAAAATCTGTGACTGTTGTTTGTTGGGGTTTTCAGAGTGAGTTCCAAAAAGTCTTTCATATGCAAATTAAATTCAGTTTCTTGGATTGGGTCACCATTTTACTGACATGTCAACAGTTGCACTGCTAGTAACAATCCTTGAAGTTATGTCACTTTTCTCTCATGTTACAAAATAATTTTTGAAGTTCTCCTTCCAGTTTTTAAAGTTCAGTTTATATATTACTCTTTAGTTTTTGTTAAATAAATATTTGAAACTGCTAAGATCAGTTGTGTGTTACTCTGTATTACAACTTGTATTTACCTTAATGACAAAGATTACACTTGTTTGAAAACAAAGTGCTCTGGTAAATATTAAGACAAAGTAAGTGGGAAATTCAGGAAATTACATAATGAATAACTTGTGATTTGTGAAGTTACTTTGTAGTGAACTCTAGGAGCTTACATTGGTTTTGGCATGAAGTCCAGGTGGGAAAACAAATGTGTACAGTATTTTTGGTATAGGAATCTCTTGTAAAGTGGTCATTTGGTAAACCATGGAGATAGGTTGGTGATATTAGAATGTATCTTAAGAAGAAAGGGTTTTGAGGATAGGTTGATGGATCAAACTTACAAGGGTGCTGTCCAATGACTGTGTTATGAGCAAGGTACCAAACAACTGAATATGAAAGTTGATGTGATTTACACCTTCATGTGACAATTCTGCCATTGCTTTTCATCCATGTTGTTTTCTTCAGCCAGTTGTTAGCAAAACTCTTATCTCCAACTGCAAACCTGTGGCAGATATACTCATGAAAAAATTTGGAAACAAGAAGATGTACCAGTATCAACTTCAACGTGATAAACACCAAGATGTAAGCTTCAAGATGCTGAACTCCAACATAAGCCAGTTGGTATCTCACCTAGATGATATTCGTCGAGATCCAAAGTGAGGATAATTTCTTACTATTCTCATGTAGTCATCATGGCTCACTGTGTATACTGAGATCTCATTGAATAAAAATTGTCTTGGATATTATCCATCGTCAAGTAAATATAAAATGTAAAACGACGTTTCGGAGATGGGACTCTATCTCCGTCTTCAGGTTCCTACACAGTTGGGCCCACTAGATAGAGCTAATCCCTATCTCGTCAAGAAGTTTTAGATTTGAGATCTCATTGTTATACAAGCAGTTCTTGCATAAATGATGTAATGTGTTCCTGTACATCCTATCATAAATGACATCATTCCCATAATTTCCCTTAGATACAATGTGATAATAAATTGTAGTTACATTCCTTGCCATTGGCTACATTTACTGTTCTCCAAAGAATTATTACGTTCTTACCAGTGTTGACACCAAACAATGTATGTAAATTTTTAACATTATTTTTGTAACTTCCAAACTTTCTGTCTTTCTACTACATTCCACAGTATAAAAATCACTTTCCATTGTCAGCCATGTTTCTAACAGTTTTGTATACTTTAAATCCACAAATACTTGATAATAACAAAAGACAAAAATATATAAGAATAATGGAAGCTCCATACCATGCCATATCAGGGTTGAGTCTTCAGCTCTGTTCATATGTGTTTGGCACCATCTACCATTTCAGATGTATTTAGAATGTACTAGTTGTTATACGTGAATACAGTTTTTTTGTCTTGTGTTCACAGAAAATTTATCTGTCTGAATGACAACCTAGACCCAAAGCGAGAGGAAGATAATGCTGTGGCTCGAGCTATTCTACAGGATATGTATGAGTCACTGTTTCCGAAACCTTCTTCTTTTGAACTTCCACCAGAATTTCGTAATCGCTTCTTGCATATTACAGAATTGCAAGCATGGCGAGCCAACAGAAATACTATCCGAACAGTTGTATACATTGGTCTAGCCATTCTTATCACATTTACATTAATCAACTTCTTTCATGTGGAGGTGAGATTTGGAGTAATAATATCCATTTCCAATTTTGAGAGCTCTTGATAGCATAGGGCAGTGGTTTTCAACCTTTTCTGATTTGTGAATCTGTCAAATAGCATGCAATTTTACAAGGATTCTTTTTCATATCTTTCTAAAATTATATTTAAAAGTACAGACTCATATAATATCAGAATAAGAAACTATAACTTGACATTAAATTGATTGTTAATTACTGTTTATAGTTGATTATATGTAATAATCACAGGAAAGACAAGTCTGGTGGCATGGAACCCTGCCATTCATCTAATATGTATTCTTTATCTTCCAGTTCCGCTGGTTGCAGCGAAAGTTATGCCAACGGACGAGACAACAGTATCATGGAGATGCACCGATGTTTTCATGTGTCTGATGCTTTGAAAACAATCCCAAAGCATTCTAATTTAAGGTGTACTAAATAATATATGTTTTAGTTATTGCATAATGCAGAGTTCCTAAGTTTCCTGAGCATTGGGTATCCAGTAGAGTTGAAATTTTATTGGAAGATACACATTTATATCATGAAACTCCTGTCGTTTGGTTGCTTCCTGATCTGAATGTTTAGAAAAGCTCCTGTGTTAATTATCATTTGTGGTCTTAGCACTCAGAAATTATTCTTGTTTACATAATGACTCCTAGTTACTATGTTGGAGCATTAACTAACTTCTGTATGCAAGTCGTAGAGTGAATGGAATCGGGGTTCTTTTACATAATAACTGCATTTCTCAAGTTGTCTTAATAAAATGTAATTTAAAATAATTTTCTCCTCAAATAATGGAAATGCCTGAGTAGGGTTGGGAGAATTAATCTATTCTCTGGTGAAAAGTAAACATGGTAGAAAGCTGTGCATTAGCTAGTCAGGATTCAGCTGCTGTCAACATTTGAAAATTGATGTCATATGTACTGTGTGAGCAATATGAAGAATGTATACAAGTGATAAATTTAAAAAAGATTAAGACAAAGACCACCCATTTTTAGGTTCAGTCTCAACCAAATTGGCACAATAGCTTCTTGTTTTATGAACATTCAGTACATGTTAATACATTTGAAAAATCAATATTTCATTTTTAATATCTGTGATAGATATTTTTTAAAACATAATTATGCCAAGCCATGTGTATATTTCTTACCCTACCCACCTTCCTACACAGCCAATTGCCACTTTTGTGATTGATTGTTTAATCTGTACAGTTGGTGGAGTGCTTGCCATTTTGTGAGTTCCATCTCATAATATCTTGCTATCCTTTGTGCTGTCATTAACATTACCTGCTACTGCTCTTCCTTTATGTTTTCTGTTTTAAAAGGTCTGCTTATTTAAAATTACTTACTTATTATTGCAATAAATATTTTCATGCATACTGTACTGTACTGTACTGTGTACATGTATACTTAATATTTAACTTCTTTACTATTACTCATGCAGTGAGTAACTTAAGGCTACTTTTTTAGTTACACCCCATTTTTTCCTTCTAAAATTTCTGTTGCTGTGTCATATATTTATTAGTGGGAGTGAAAATTTCTTAACATGTATTCTGGATACCTGTTTGTAAGTTGTTGCAGAAAACTTTGCTGCTGGAGAAACTTGACTTCCTTACTGTTACAGTTTACATACCCATAAAGTTGATGTTTATTTTTCATGAATAAACATTAAGTTTCACAAAATGTATGGTTATAAATTGATTCTCAGTGTTGATATAGCTATACTGATTAAGCAGTGTTTAGCATCAGACTTAACCACTGTCATTGAAAGAATAGAACTATGTTTAAATTGAAATGTCTAAAAAATTATAAAAATAGTCTCACATTCCTATAACGTACCATGAATGCAACAAAAATTAAAAATAAGTAGGTGCTCTGTTGTCTAGAATGCCATTGACATTTTTCTGTTCTACACACATGCTTCTCTTTTCACTTGTTCTTAATCAATCAGATTGATGCAGACAGATTTCACACTTCAAAGTGCGTGCTTCCTTTAATTTTGGTGATAAAATTAACTAGCCACCTAAGGACTAAAGTCTGCATATGTTGCCCCTCTGTTCATCTGCAGAGAATAATATGAATCCATTCCCTGTGATAGTGGATAATATAGTACTTTTTCCAGTCAGATGACTAAGCCTACATTGTTTTAATACTCAGTAATGTTGTGAATTGTCTCTAATAAGAAGATAGCTACTCTAGTTGTTGGCAAATGATTGCATGACATAGATGTAATATAGTGTTTGTGATTGATAATCAGTAAGCAATGATACCAGTGCCATATAAGCTTAACAAATGTACATTTTAATTATATGAAATAATGACTATTTTTAGAGTGAAAATTTTGTTTGTATAATTAGTCCTCTTGTTTCTTGTCCCTGAATCAATTTTAGATCAACTTTATGAGATTTACTTATTTTAGGCAAATGATGACACATTTTGGATTGGACAGTACATGCAGGAAATTAGGATATGTTAGGGTTGTCTTCTTGGTCAATGACAACTGGAAAAGATTTTCATGATGTTTGTCAGTATAGTATGGCCAATCTGTTCTCTCTGTAGATAGGAGATACTCTTTTAGTACTGCCTTAAACTTCATTATAATGTGATTCAGGCTTTTTGTAGTGGGGGCAAATTATTGAATAGCTTAATTCCAGTATAATGAATTCTATTTTGATATTTACTGGGGTCAGTATTTGCACATGTCTGTGTCTTGTACTTATGTTGTGGATATCTTAGAAATGCTTCTGTGTTGTCTATTACAAATGATGAGCAAGAATTTGCAGGCTAGTGGAAGAATATTAAATTTCTTAAACACTTTTCTACGTGAGATCCTCTTTTTAGTTCTTGCTATTATTGTAATGATTTTAGTATATATATCAATTAGAACACCCTACGCTCCAGATGTAATGTAGTAATATGAAAAATGTTATACAGTGCCCAAAAACTGCACATGAAAGAGGTATATGGGTAAAATTTTAAGTATGGCATAGTTCCCCTGCCAAGGGAAGCACCAGAGAGGAAGCCGTTTAGTTTAGCCATTCTTAAAGATGATGTAGAAACACGCCCCTTCTGGGAATCGAACCCTCACAGTCCAGTTAATAGCCAGCGGATTACAAGGATACAACTATAGCAATTAAGCCAGCGAAGTTGGACTTTAATATTTTAATAGCTTTGAGAGTAGGTAAAGATGGCAGCACATATGTATAGTAATCATTAGGTTGGGTGTGCTTAAAAGTTAATCGAAAGTACCATGTCTACTATTACACTTCCTTGCTTATTTCTAGTCGTGTTTTAGAGAGGGTTTGGTGTGAGCGTGTGCTGAGAGGAGGTGCTGTGCCACATTTGATGCGTACGTTTAATTGTCTGTTAATTGTGTTACTTGGGCAATCCGTGATTTTACAATGTGCGTGAAACGAATCGTCCTTCGTTATGTCATTACCGTAAATTGCCGATATTAGCTGAAGAAATTCGAATCAGTGCATCAGATAAATGTATATCTGTATTTTAGTGTTTGGGAAGTAAGTAGTGTGAAGTCCTGAACATGGATACTCATTCATATGAAGAGTGGCTGCATTGAATGTTCATTATTCACATATTAGTGAAGGTATTGTTTCAAAGAACACTAGTTTGGTACCGATAATTAAATACATACGAGTTTGCATTGGGGCACGAAAATCCTCATAAATCAACACGTCAGAAAAATAAGAGGATACAACTAACAACTAGAAGGTATTGTATTTTTGCATTTGTTAAATGGGTGTAATTTAATATATATAGGTGTAATTTAATATATATATAATTTAATATATATATGTACTCCTCCCCAATATTGTCAGGGTGATTAAGTCGAGAAGAATGAGATGGGCGGGACATGTAGCGCGTATGGATGGGACAAGAGGCGTGCACCGGGTATTGGTTGGGAAGCCTGAGGGGAAGAGACCGCTGGGAGACCTAGACGTAGATGGGGGGATCTATTGGAGATAGGAGTTGAAGGAGACTGGATTTTGTTGGCCCAGGACAGGGTCCGGTGGAGCGCTTTGGTTAATTCGGTGATGAAGCTTTGGGTTCGGTAAGCCATCTAGTTAGTTATATATATATTTTTTTTGTGAAAGAAAAAAAAGTGAAATTGGTGCATGATGTCGAATTCTGCATACATGTGAACATGCACATATTTTTGTAAAATTGACCGAAGTTCCTGCTAGCTGACGCAGCTAAATACATTCCGTACGAAACGACAGTTTAGTTCCACGTGATAATAGTTCACGTGCTGCCCGGACAACTGTGCTGCAGCTGTGACGTTACAAATTCATTTCCACGCATGCGCATAACGCTCGTTTATGGCACGAATGTTATATACGCTATAGTACGCGAATCAGATGTGCTGGTATGTAGCCCGAAGAAGGTTACTGGTTGTATTGTGATTTTAATCATGGTAATTCAAAGGCCCAAGGAATTTAGCATAAAATTATGCTTCACATTTGAAAGGCTACTTCACAAAACGCCCGTGTTAGATAGATTTAATCAGATGAGAAATTTAATTAAACTAGACAAGGGGACTGCTACGCGTAGAATAAATGAGAAATTTTGATCAGAAAACCCCACGGGTTGAGACTGGGACATATAGGCCTGTGTAAGAGGATGGCAAAGATTGAGAAACTGAGAACGAAATTGTTGACTGAATTTGACTCACTGAGGGCTGGGTGCAATGTCGAATTTTGTGTGTGTAAACAGTGAAACCTTCAAAATTTATAAAATAAGGAAATTACTGGCCCAGATCAGGAAATATCAAGATCAAAGATTAGATGGGCAGGACATGTAGATGAGAAATGAATTGAAAATTTTGGCCGGGAAGTCAGAAGAGAAGAAACAACTTGGAAGACCTACGCATAAATGGAAGGATACTATTAAAATGGATCTTAGTGAAATCGGTTTGCAGGATGTGGATTGGCTTCATCTGGCGTATGATAGGAATGTGGTGGGCTGTTGTGAAAATGGTAATGAACCTCCATGTTTTATAAAGATGAAATTTCTTGACTATCTGTGCTTCTGAAGAAGGTTTCTGTTGCATATAATTATTATAAAATATGTGCATTTTAATATACATCCCATGGGTCCAAAAGTTAGAAAGACAGTATCATGTGGAATAAATCATAAAAATTACATTGACAGTTACAATTCAAAATACAAATATTTCACCA